GGTAGGGTGTCAGGTGTCAGGCAGGGGCCACCTAGAAGGGCCTAAACTCCAGGCCTCCTGGCAAGATGAACCCAAGGCCAGAGCAGCCGGTGCTGGGCCGGAGAAGGAGTGGGTGTGTGATGAGACAGAGTCCTGCAGCCCAGAGGACGTGGGGAGGAGAAGACAGACGGGGCCCTGGAGAACACACAGGCAGAGCCTCAGTTGTTGCCTGTGACTACTTGTACCTCGAGGAGGGGGACATGTGAGTCACACTTGCAGCAGTCCTAAGGAGTCTGACTTTATGCTCTAATTCTGAGTGGCTCAGAATTCACTGAGTGACCAGGAATAGCTGGGGACGTGCCGGGGCTGTCAGGGTGGTGAGTGCTGTTAGAGCACGGGTTTTAGGTGAAATCTGAAGGGGGCATCTCTGAGTGTGTGCCCTCTACAGGAGTTCCTACTGCAGAAGCAGGCAGGGCCCAGCCACTGAGTCTTTTGAGAATGGGCTGAGAAGGAGATAAATGTGCATTAAACAGTAAGGCAGGCAGGAGACCATTTCTTCCTGACAGAAATATTCTTCTGATATTAAATAAATCTAATGTGAAATTCTGATACATTTCTTTAAAATTTTTGAATTATTATTATTATTTTTTTTTTTGAGACAGAGTTTCACTCTTGTTACCCAGGCTGGAGTGCAATGGTGCAACCTCCGCCTCCTGGGTTCAGGCAATTCTCCTGCCTCAGCCTCCTGAGTAGCTGGGATTATAGGCACGCGCCACCATGTCTAGCTAATTTTTTGTATTTTTAGTAGAGATGGGGTTTCACCATGTTGGCCAGGATGGTCTCAATCTCTTGACCTCGTGATCCACTCACCTCGGCCTCCCAAAGTGCTGGGATTACAGGTATAAGCCACTGCGCCCAGCCCAAAAATTTGAACATTAAATGAAAACAGAGTAGTGAGAGGCTAAATCTGCATGAATTTTTAAGACAGAACAAGAGATGCTAAGACATGTGTGGCTTGCACAGGTGTTGGGAGCCCCCCTGCCCCCGGCTGCAGCCATCCCTTCTTGCCAGCAAAGTGGCTCCAGGAAACGTTCTCCAGGAAGGAGGGAGAGGCCACCTTGGGCAAGGACTGAGGCAGTCACGGGACATGGGGATGAGGTTGGGTCACCCTCCTGTGCCAGAGTCCCATACAGGAAAAGGGTTCCCACCCAGAGGCTTGGGATATCCTCAACCCGTATCCTAAACAGGGAGCTAGGGCTGATCAAGTGTCACAGAAACCACCAGGTCAGCTGGGCACTCACAGGGGGCAGCTGGGCCGTCCAGGCATCCACGAGGCGGAGGGGAGGTGCACCTGCTCCCGGTCATCCTGCATCTGCAGCCGGATGGGCCGCCTCAGCCCCCAGGCGATGTTGAGGAGTCCCTCGATGATCAGAGTCCCTTCTTCCTGTGGGGATCCACACATCAGCCCTTCCCACAGAGCAGCTGTCCACCTTCCACCCCTCGGGGTTCAATGCTCTGGCCCTGCACATCCCTCCTCCTGAGTGGATGGCCCGGTCCCCTTGGGAAGGACCACCAGCCACTACGTGCCTTGAGGCACGTGGCCAGGCCCTGTGGGAGGAAGCCTGAGTCTTGCTGAGCTCATGCCTGGCCAGGGGCACGGCCCGAGATGCATCGGCTGAGTCAGGTGTCCCACAGGAACCCAGCTGCTGGCCAGCAGGCACGTCCACACCGCGGCAAGGAAGGGGTTCCAGGGACACACAGCCGGTCTGCTTGTGCCAAGCAAGGGAACTCTCTGCCCACACTGCACCTGGGAGGGGGTCCTGTGCCACCAGGTCCCGTGGCCACCAGGCCCTGTGGGGTCTCATGCCCACCAGAGCAGAAGTGGGTGCTCTCTGTCCTAGCTGTGTCTCAGCCTCATCCTTCTCCCGGTGCCCCCCGACAGCAGCAGAGTCCACTTGCCAGGGCTGACAACAGGTCTTGCTTTTCTCACCACTGCCAGGACATCACTAGCCTTACATCCCACACCAGAATTTCTACAACAGCCTTCATCCCTTGTCTCCAACCTGCCTCAGTTTTCCTAGGTCTGCAGCTGATATGGCTCCTCTCCTGCTGCCAACCTGCGGTCCTAATCAACAGAGTCCTCTGCAGGCACCTTGCTAGTGCTGGTCGGCACCCATTGGGCCCTTGATTCAGTGCCTCTGACCTATTCCAGGCCTCAGTCTCTGTGAGACCACCCCAGTGCTCTGTGCCAATCCCAGTTACTCCGTGCGTGAGCCTGGCCAGCTGCGTCATTTGCCAGAACACTTGGGGGCAACCTCAGCTGCCCTCTCTCCAGAGCAGCAGTCTCGAAACTGCGCACTCCTAATCTGCTCTGACTCTAGTCTTTCCACAATTAACTCTGAATGTCATTCTCCCATTTCCATCTCAACTAACATTTAATTTTATTATTTATTTGTGTTTCATTGTGGTAAGGACATTTAACATAAGAACTACCGTCTAAACAAGCTGTGAAGTGCACAATACTGTATTGTTCACTGCAGGAGCTATACTGTCCAGCCCGTATCCAGGACTTATTCATCTTGCATAACTGAAACGTTATATCAGCCGCAGAGCACCTCCCCATTTCCTCCTCCCCTCCCCCAGTCCCTGCAACCATCATTTTCACTCTCTGCCTCGATAAGCCTATTTTAGATTCCTTATATAAGTGGAATCATCCAGTATTTCTGACCCATATTTTAGATTCAGATCCCATTTTGCTCTCCTCGTTGGCACCAAAAGCCCTGTGAGAACAGGGACACCAAGGAAACTTCTTCATATCCCTGGCAGCACTCAGGAAGACCCTGCTCAGTGTGGATTTCGTGGCAAGTTAGCAATGGGGTTTCTAGGTTCAAACACCCTGCCATTCACAGAGAAAAGAGTGTACTTGAAGGTTATCAAAAATACACACGGCTTCCAGATATGACCTTGCACTATCTGCTAAAAAGGAAAACAAACAAGCAGAAACCAGAGTTGTTTTCGATACTCACTGGCGCTCTACAAGCACAGATGTGTCACTGAGCTCCCTATGAAGGTGAGGTCAGCATGGAGTTCAAAGGTCCATGGGGGTTATGTTCTTGCCTGTTGGCCTCAGGTGCCTCTCAGCAGAGAGAGCCTGTGGGGATGATGGCTCACTCATGGAGACCCACTGCCCTCCCGCCCCATCCTGGACCCCAGGTAGAGGGAGATGGAGCAGACACAGCCCTGGCCATGAGGGGCTCAGGCTTGGATGCAGAAGGGGATGCAAGGGAGATTCCTGGAGGAGGTGCTTGTTCACTGCACCTGGAAGACAGGTGAAGGGGGACACAGAAGAAAGCTGAGCAGGTGGCACTGACTTGGGGACCTGCCTGGACAAAGTCAGGGGCTTGGCTGTACTGGGGACAGGCTAGCTTGCCATGACGCAGGCCAGATATCCCTGCACAGGTGGCATGTGTGCCCCCAACATACCCACCCACCACTGTTTACCCTCCCCCAGCTTGGCTGAATCTGAGTGGAGAGAAAGCCCTGTCAGCCAGCAGCGAATTCTTCCATCTCCCTCCTCCTTTCAGTCTCTTGACTAATCTGCTCATTGCTAATAAACTCAAAGAGCCAGAGAAACAAAGGGTCTATTAAAGTTGTAAGAGCCTGGGCAAGGTGAGAAGTGCATGTGCGCCTGAAATCCTGGTCACCGTCTCAGGCACTCTCTGCCTCCATGCCTTTCCCCACGTGGGGTTCCACCTAGAATCCAGGAACTTGGGACTGCCGGTTCCTCTTGTTTGCCTGGGGAGTCTGGAATCTGCCCAGTTCTCGGAGCTTAGGCTTGGGCTACCTCTGGGTGATTCCCCCACCCGCAGCACAAGGCAGGCGTGTTCCAGGTGGGGCTGTGGCTGGGACTGGGGCAGATCTATGGCCTGTCTGGGGAGTATGGGATCTTCCTAGCGGCTGCCACTCTTGTCCTTGGCAGCTTCCTTTCCTGGCATGGTCACTCCTGGACAGAGGCAGTGGCTTTCTAATGCTGTCCAGGTGCTCCTTGGCAGCTTCCCCCACAAACCTGCCCCAGCCCAGGCCCAGCAGCTGAAGCGATCCTTTGAAGCATAAGCCAGACTGCAGTGCCCTTGTTCAAACCCTGCAGTGTCTTTCCCTCCCTCCTGGAGGGAAACTCAGCATCCATGCCAAGGCCCGCTGACCCCTCCTACATGCGCCAGTCCGCGGGCCCCTTGCTGTGCCGTGAGCACATCCATCCAGAGTACTCTCAGCACAGGGGCTTTGCACGTGCTGCCTTGCCACCCGAAATGTGCATTTCCCCATTTTTTTCAGGTCTCTGCTCCATATCTGCTCTTAGGGGAGACACCCCTGACCACTGTACCTGCGGTGGCAGCACAGCAGTGCGCCCACCACAACACTCTACTTTTCCTTCAGGCAGCTCTTGGTGCCTGAATCACAGCACCCATTCATCTCTGGCTTGATCTGCCCCCTTACTAGAATATGAGCTCCAGGGGGCCATGCCTTGGTCTGCTGCTACGTTTGCTGAGCTTAGAGCAGTCAGTGCACACAGCAGCACTACACATCTGGTGAACACCCATCTGGGGTGCAAGAAGACCAGAGTTAAACCCCGCAGACCGCCCTTGGTCCCATTGGCGGGGGGCGGGGGGGGGGTGTACCTCTCCTGGGAGCAGGCCTAGGGACCTCGCCTCAGCTGCTTCCAGGATGTGGCCCTGTGCTGCTGTTTTTTTATCCAAGTTGCCAAGGACCTAGCCCAGCCTCATAGGTGCAGGCCCAGGGCTCTGCAAGGACCAGCAAAAGGCGTGGAGTCAGGACGGGCTGGTGTAATAGAGTGGGGAATAAACTTCAGGGCAGGGACCCCTCCCTCTCCCAGTGCCCTGAGGTGACCAGCAGTGGGCCCACCCCTTTCCTGCCTTGCGGTGTAAACATTCCCCAGCCTCCCACAGGCAGAAAGACACCTCCAGACTGGCAGCTGGGCCAAGCCCCGCCCACCGAGCTGTTTTCCTAAGAGAGCCTCCCTGAGCAGGCTATTTTTGGCCCTCATGACAGTGATTGATAGCTCCTGGGAAGGTATAAAAGCAGCTGCTTGCTGAGGTTCCTCAGAGAGCTCAGGGAACAGCCTGCCTCGTGAGCTGTGGGACTCAGATAGGACTCAGTGCATTGTCCTCCTCCGGCCACCCCACGCTGGACCCCCTGCTGGACCCTCCACCCTTCGGCCCTCAAGCTTCCTAGGGGCTTCCTGTGGACTGGACTGTCCCTGCTCATCCATTCTCCTGCCACCCTCAAACCTCCTCAGCTCCAGGTAAGAGGAAGCAGCTGCCCTTGGGTTGGAGACAACACACAAGGGCTTTGTTTATCTTTGAGGGCAATTCCCAGCCTGAACTTGCACAACCTCCCTATGGCTTAGAGACCAGGGCTACCTGTAGAGGGCTTTGCATTAAAAGGGATTCAGATGCTATTTCTTCATGCGTTTCCCACAACATCCCTGCCAGGGGTATTTACAACCCTGTTTTATGGATGGGTAAGTGGAGGCCTGGAGAGGTGGCCTTGCCAAAGGTCAGTGCGTGGCCGATCCTGGGTTTAAACTCAGCTTTCCTCTGACCAGTGTTAATGTTAAGTTGGGTTGTCTTATCTGGGCACATTGTGAAACGATCATGATAAAATCTTAAGCCTGTCGGCTTTTAACCTAAACAGGAAGAAAAAGCCCAGAAGTCTGTGCTCTGTGGACTTCGAACTGCTCTCAGGGCACAGGATTCCTCCAGGCAGCCCCAGAGGAGTGTGGGGACCCCGAGGGGCTGTGGGATGCACGGCAGGCCCTCGTAACCTGGCCTCTGTTTCCCAACAGGTTCCTCCCTCCTCTCACCAGAGTGATGAGGTCCCGGCTTCTGCTTTCCGTGGCCCATCTGCCCACAATTCGGGAGACCACAGAGGAGATGCTGCTTGGGGTGCCTGGGCAGGAGCCTCTGCCCTCCCCTAGCCTGGATGACTACGTGAGGTCCATATCTCGACTGGCACAGCCCACCTCTGTGCTGGACAAGGCCACAGCCCAAGGCCATCCCAGGCCACCCCACAGGCCAGTCCAGGCTTGCCGGAAGGGCTACCCTGCCATGTCCCTGCGGGATATCACTGCACGTTTCAGTGGCCAGCAGCCCACACTGCCCACAGCCAATGCTGTGGACCCCCTGGACTGGCTTTTTGGGGAGTTCCAGGAAAAGCAGCCAAGCCGGAGGGACCTGCCACGGACTGGCCCCTCTGCTGGCCTCTGTGGTCCGCACAGACATATGGACAGTGGCAAGGCCAAAGGGGCCCCCAGAGGGAGGCTCTGTGAAGCCAGGATGCCTGGGCACTCCCTGGCAAGACCGCCACAGGATGGGCAGCAGGGCTCTGACCTGAGAAGCCGGACTTCTGGGCAGGCTGGCCAGGCCACAGCCTCCCCCTGCAGTCCCCGCCCGGGCAGTGTCCTCAGAACTCTCTACCTGCACCTCCCGGTTATCCACGAACTCTGACCCTACCCAATAAAGACTTCTGTAAAGAGCACGCCACTGGGTCTGCGTCTCCTCCTGTCTCCTCCATGGTGGTCACTGTCCCTGGGAGGTGTCTGGAAGGGAAATGCTTTTCTGCAGGAGCCCCTGCACGGGCAGTTCACGGTGAGACCCACCCCCTCTGAAAATGTTAACAGCCTGTCTCACGAGAGGAGATATTATCAATCCCATTTGCTCTGATCCTTGCTGGCTGATCACCTGGCTAAGCAAATTACTTAACATCTGTGTTCCTCAGTATCTCATGGGTAATAATGGGGATAATTACTGGCACCTGCCTCCCAGGCCATTCTGATGAGTGAACACATGACAGAAGCCCATTCGCTGAGTAGCTATTGTCATCGATGGTGGGGAAACTGGTGGTAGGAGTGTGAAGGTAGTGGGGTGCCAGCCCCCTAGGTGTTTCAGAGCAAGGCCTTGGGCACTCCCAAGTCCCCTTTCGGCCCCCACTCAAAGCCCATGTTCTGTGAGGCCCAAGAGAACACATGGAGGCTTAGCAAATGCCCTGCTGTGTTTCGGGGGGCTGTCACCTGGCACCACTGGGGCACTGCTGGCTATAACTCCTGCATCCTGCGGTGGCACTGGGAGAGTTCCCCATGATGAGGGCCAAGACAGAATGTGTACCACTCAGCCCACCATCCCCACCTCATACCACCTCCACCCAGGGGCCTCACAGCTTGGTCAGGATCCCAGCTGTGGGTGGGAGGCAGGGCACTGTCCAGCTGCCCTCCACCGGGTAAGTGCTGATGTCCTAAGGTCCAGGCCGGGGCATCTGGAGTCTGGAGGACCCCAGTTCTTGGAAGCATCTGGCAGCAAGCAGGTGAAGGCAGGGGATGGGAGGAGGGAAATTTCCTTCCTTATTGAGGCAGGTGAAGCATCAGGGAACAGGAATCAGGCTGGCTGTGGTCAGAGGTGAAGGGACAGAAAGAGGAGAGGAGGAAGGTTGAATTGGGGCCACAGCCAAGCTCAGCTCACCCGGGCATGTCTCGCCACCTTGTGAGCTGTCAGTCTATGTCTTTCTCTTTTTCGTGGCTATTTTTAATTGCTTTGGGCTTGTTAAATGTTTATCTGTCTCCTGTTATGTGTGTTTTCTTGGGAGACAGAATGTTAACCATATTAAAAGGAAAAAGTTTCAGACAAGCAATTAATTACCCAGTATCCTTATCTTTAAAATGGGGACATCAACAAGTGTCCTTCACACCCTGCCAGGGCTGGGAACCTGTGCATGTGAACCTGGGGCTGTCACTATGAGCACCACAGACAAATGTTTGTATCTGCCACAGCCCACTGTGTGTCTGTGGTGGTCTCAAGCCTGCAGGTCCCTGACCTTGGGCAAATGTGTAGGGCAGCCTTCAGCCAACCATCACCCTCAGGAGAGATCACCTACCAAGGCGGGGGGGGGGGGGGCATGGGGGGGTGTCCAGGCTTGCTGGGCCCAGCCTCACTACAGCCCCTTCTGCAAAGTGTCATGAAACTGGGTCAGGGAGAGTCCAGCAATGAGGATGATGTCAGCGGACTCCCCCATGCTCAGAAGCCACCCCACTGCATCTGGAGAGGTCTGGCAGTGTGAGGAGACCCAGGAAGGCGCTCCCTCCCAGCCGAACACATGTTTGGGGTGGGGGCTTCTGGCAGTGTCCCAAGCTCCTGCGGAGAGACCCAGGAAAATTCCTTTCCCTTCCCTTCCCTTTATGCTAAGCCTCCTGGTGGGGCCCTTGTAGAGCAGTCCTATTCTCCTCCCTACTAGCCACTGGAGAGGGGGTGTAGAGAGGGGAGTGAAGAGGACAGTGGAAGTGGGGGTGGGAGTGGAGAGGGGATTGGGGGTGGGAGGTGGAGAGGGGAATAGGGGCGGGGGTGGGAGGTGGAGAGGGAAGTGGGGATGGAAGGTAAAGAGGGGAGCAGGGGTGGGGATGAAGAGGGGAGTGGGTCTGGGGGAGAGGGGAGTGTGGATGGGGGTGAAGAGGGGCTGGGGGTGAAGAGGGGAATGGGGCTGGGGGTTGAAAGGGGAGTGGGAGTGGGGGTGAAGAGGGGAGTAGGGGTGGAGGTGGGAGGTGGAGAGTGGGGTGGAGAGGGGAGTAGAGAGGGAAGTTGGGGGTGGGAAGGTGTGGGAAGTGGAGAAGGGAGTGGAGAGGGGAGTAGGGGTGGAGGTGGGAGGTGGAGAGGAGGAGGGTGGAGAGGGACAAGGAGAGGGTAGTGAGGATGGGAGGTGGAGAGGGGAGTAGGATGGTATGGAGTGGGGTGGGGTGTGATGGGGGTGTAAGGTGGAGAGGGGAGTGGGGGTGGAGTGAGGGTGGCAGGTGGAGAGGGGAGTGGGACACAAGGCCCTGCCCAGAGCCAGCAGGCTGGGAAGCGCTTTGCGACTCCCAGAAAACATGTTCGCGGTGCTGGCCAGTCACTCCGGGCGGGGGCCAGTGGTCTGCTGGGCCTTCGGAGGAGAGACTGGGCAACTCTCCCAAGGTGGGCTGCTGGTTTTCCGCACCCCTGCGAGAGACAGAGTCCCCGGACCAGAGGAAGCCCTTTTCGTTTCCCGCATTGCTGAGGGGTCCTGGGGCAGAGGAGCGGGGCTGGGTGTGGTGCGCGCCCGCGGTCAGCAGGGGGCGCCCCCAAGCCTCAGCGCTGCCCAGGCGGGCGGGGCCGGCACGCAGTCCACGAGGAGGGTCGGGCTTCCTGGGGCACACTTGCTAGTGGAGAGACATGGGTTTACACAATGTAAGGACATTTCCCGGCGGTCCGTTTTTCTTTTGAGATACCTGCCAGCCTGGTAAAAGCCCTTTGCCATCTTTAAAAGACACAGACTGCTCCCTATTGCTCAGGCCTTTTGTTGTAATACAAGCAAAATTATCCCAAAGGCAAAGTTCACGATAGAGGAAGTCGGCGCCTCAGCCTCCAGAGACAGCGTCCCTCCTCTAGCCCCTCGGAAGCGGGGAGAAGGCTCACAGGGAGATGCTGGCCCCAGGGCTTGGCCCTGCCCACCTTCTGAGACTTGGGATGACACTGCAGGAAAAGGTGCCCCAAACCCTACTGCTTAGGCTGCAGGTGCTGCGGCAGGGGCGGGGGGTGGGGGGTGGGGGCTGACAACACGGGGCGGGGGCAGAATATTCCAGGCGGTTCTGGGAGCGCACCCCGGGTTGGTAAGCCCCTCGACAGCCTGAGAGACCCTTAGCTTGGGGCTTAAGGCAACAAGCAGCTCCCTGTATCCCTGGGACCTGTTCACTGACACTGGGTGGAGATTTCCAAAGCTTAATGCTGGAAATGGTATGCTGATTTGTAAGTGGCTGTGACCTTGGGGCCATGGCCAGCACCTTTCACTTACTGCAATGTGACCTTGGACTACAGACTTAAACTCTGGGAGCCTCAATATTTGCCTGGAAAATGGTCATTCTTACATCACCTTGTACTAAACGAAGGAGAGGCAAAGTGCCTGGTGCATTGGAGGTTCCCTGGGGAAGTGTCCGTTCCTCTTGCCTGCCCAGCTCTTGGGGCCTGTGGTGCCTGAGGAGAGACTGGCCTGGGATGGCCCTGCCCCTGCAGCAAGTGCCCAGAGGCCCATGAGGTTGTAGCGGGTGCATCCTAGGGCCCCCAGTGAGACCTGGAGGGGCTCACTGTTGTGCCTATTAGCGTCACAGCCTGCAGCCTTGTCTTCTGTGGTGATTGTGACCCAGCAAAAAAACACACTTCTTCAGGCCGGTACCCCCAGGGCTGTTAAGGCTGCAGAAGTTTCCTGAAAGGTACTTTCTGGCTCCATGGAGATCAGGTCAAACCCTTACACTTTCTTCAGAGTTAGGGACAGGAAAACTCCTTCGGTGGGTTAACTTTCTATCATTAGGGGATGTTCAGAACACCTCTTCCCGGCCTTGGAGTCCCTGCTTCTCTATGCGGCTGTCCCCCACACACAAACACACAAACCACAAACGCAGGGCAGAGGCTCTTGGGGTTTCCCACTTCTCACAGCTGTTCATACAGAGGGGATTATCTTGGTGAATCCCAAGTGCCAAGACTAAGCTCTGATTATTGGTTTTCAAACTTGACCTTCCACCAGAATGCCCTGGAGGGCGCCTTAAAACAGGGACAGGAAGACCAAGAGTTTTTGGTTCAGCAGGCCTGGGGGCGGGGAGGGGAGTGGTAGAAATTTGCATATCTAACCTGTTCCCGGGGTGCTTGGATCACCTTTGGAGAGCCACCTGGGGCTTAGATCAATCCCTGAACAGCCAGAGCTGAAGAACAGCCACAACCGCACCCCAGCCCTCCACCAGGAGTTGTGAAGTGGTGTGTGTTAGCAACACGATGGAAATCCCTGCCGCCCCATTACCTACTGCCTCCTGCCGCCCAGCACATGAGCTCAGGAATCAGGACTCACCCCGACTCTCTCCAGGCCTGCACCTGCTGGTTAAGTCATCCACTAACTCTGCACAGGGACCCCCCAGGGTGTAGGGCTTGGGGAGTGCAGGACGGGGGCAGGCAGGGTGAGACAGGTGTCACAGAAGCAAGTGTGAGGAGGTGAGGCGGGCGGAGAGGGACGGGAGCAAGCTGTCGGCCCTCTGGCCTGGGCAGGTCAAGGAGGCAGAGCATGAGGTTTGTGCCTTGCCTGGTGGTCACAGGCAGCCCAGCACAGCCTGGACCAGGAGCCAGAAGCTCCCTAAGGGTGTGACGTCTGGCCTGGAGCAGAGGGCACCTCAGGGGCTGGCTAAGGCTGTCTGGCAGCAGGTTCCGGCCTGCCCTCTGACCTGCCACTGATTGGCAACTCCCGGCTGCCCAGAGCTGCCTGGATGGCAGGGTTAGTTTGTCCTGGGAGCTGTAGAACGGTGTCTGAGTTACGTAAGAGGGAGGACTAGGACTAGTGAGCCAGGACTAGTGAGGAGGTCTTGGGTTTCCTGGGGCTCCCTGCCCATTCCTCTGTTCAACAACAAAGGGGCACTTAGAATCCATCGGTCCTGGTCAGACGCTGATGGATGGGAGAAAGTCCAGGAGCCAACCCCATCTCAACTGCAGAAACCCCCCAAA